GAAAAGTGCACCATTCAACTACAATATAAAATTTCTGCACCACGAGAATCAGTTTTTGGTGTGGTTGCTATTACATGAAATCTAAACATTCTAATTCTGATTAGATACCAGTGTAAAAGCTATTTTCATTTCTAACAAAATAGAGATGTTCACTGTAATTGTGATACTTAACACACTTGAGCTCACAAAAACCTGTCTTCTTATTCTTGAGCATGCAATTTGACCTGAGGCTCTCTTCAAACTGAATATTCCTTCAGTGATTAAACCCTTAGTCTCTGTGGAATATGGAAATATCTAATTAATAACAAATTTCTTTATTTTCTCTGGTTATTTTTAGCTTTTTCCTTGAACATACACTCCCCTACCCGAGACTGCCACACATAACTCCTGACAACTACTGCTTCTTCTCCTTCTGTCCATCCTAGTATTCCTAACATTTTTAGCTTAAGGTGAGCTTACCTGAGACTTACTGGTGTAGAAAAGAGAAAAACAAAAGTCAAAAGACATTCATTCAGTCATCTATTCATTCAAACAGTGTACCGTTTCCTGTAGGCCAGGTACAGTTCTACAGACTGAGAATATAACAGTGAGCAAACAACACAGACAATGTGCCTACCCCTAGGAGCAAATAACCTAGTGGGAGATACAAAAGAGCAGAAAGACAACTACATGATTATTGATGATCACCCTTACAATACAGGTTTTCAAGGTGGTGGGTAAGAGGTGCGAAGAAGGTGTGAGGATGGGAAGAACCCAGGGAAGGCATTTAATACATCTCTAGGCTGTGTCCTGAAGTACGTACAAGCACTAACAAGACAGAAGCAAAGTATCCATCAAGCAGAAGAAATAACATGTACAAAAGCCATAGCTGGACCCATGGCTAGACCAAAACAGGTGGCATCCAAGACTGGATAATATTCTGGCACACTTCAAATTGATCTTCTTTAAACATTTGGTAAAGATCTATTTTATGGGGTAGAGAAAAATTATTTTCTATTAATAAAAATTAAATATAGAAATGGGTTCCCTTTTTAATTCATTTCTACTAAGCCAAAAGCATCATTCTTCTGGTAAAGATCAGAAAATGTTTCTAGTTCTTGACCTCTCCTGCCTTTTACTCAGTGATCCTTCTAGACTCCTTACTTCTCACAAGCCTACACAAAATAAAAAATGAAAATCTTCAATATTTAAGAAAGGACTACATGTGTAAAATAGGTATCATGTTTCCAATTTATTCTAGTGGTATTTTAGTGCCCCTTATAGAATAGCCCCCAGACATCCTAGCTACCTCTTTACACTCAGCCCCCTTTTGATTAGGTGGTACAGAGTGAGAAGGACGATCCAAAGATGAGGCTAAAAAGGTAGACAGGAACCAGATAATACAGAGTTTTGTAGGTCACAAGAAAGAGACTACACTGTACCTTAAAAGCCATGGAATTGTTGAGAAGATTTGAAAAGGGAGAACTGTGAGGCTGTTTTTATAAACCAGGCTAGAGATGCTAGCAACTTGAGTAGCAGAAGAGCAGTAGGAATACAGTGTGGCATATACTTGAAAAGTAGTTAGGAGCTACTACTGACTAGACTTAGAGATAAAAAGAAGGGGAGAGGAGTAATTAAGGATAAGTCTTAAGTTTTAGGCTTGAGTAGTTGGTAGAGGAGGATAACACACACTGAGATAAGGTATAAAAGGACAATCAGGCTTGGGATGAAAAACCCTAAGTTCAGTTTTATACACATTGAGTTTTATACTTACAGTACATCAAAATGCAGATATTTATAAATAAGACCAGGAGACTAAGACCAGGGGAGATTTAGGGTGAAGACAGATGTGGGCAGCCTCAGTACATAGATGGAATTCATGGGATGGATGAGAATACTTAGGGAAAGTATGTGTATAAAACAGAAATACATAAAGGAACCTAGGGAAGAGCCCTGAGAATCTCTTATATTAATGGTCTGAAAGAGGCTGAGGAGAAACCACCAGAGATAATGGAAGAAAAGCAAGAGTACACATCATGGCTTCAAGGATCTAATAAGTGGTCCAAAATGTCCAATGCTAGAAGTAAAGAGAAAGAAAGAGGTATTCACTAAATTACCAAGAAGTCATTTTTTGTAAATTTGCTGAAACAGTTTTATTAAAGAAAGATTAATCCCAGCTGCAGCAAGCCATGTGAACAACTCATCACAACCGAATCTCGGATTCTTCATCTGTAAAACAGGAAAAACAAAAATACCCACCCTTCCTACCTTGTAGTTTTGTTATTAGGGTTACATTAAATACTATAACATATGTAAAAGTTACTATATAAACAGAGGGTATAGACAAGTGTTACTGTAACTGTGTTGTTCATCCTCCTGTTCACAAATGTCAGTTTTCTCTTCCACCCACGTGGTCGATAAGTCACATTTGACTTACACTGGCCAATATGTGTATCAGCATAAGTGGCTGATTGCTAGGCAAAAACTGTAAGAAATAGTGCCTAGTTCAAAATGTTCTCTGTTCCTTGCCCCTGCCACTGTAGAAGCATGTTTCAAAATGATGACTTCATCAGCCTAGATCCTTGAATGATTGCCATGAGGAGAGCCTGACTCATGCTGACATGTAGCATGGGGACAAATAATGTTTTTTTTAAAACACTACGATGTTGGAATTATGATACAGCAACTAATTGCAGCACAAATAACAGGTGAAAAAAGCAGGAAAGCCAAGAGGAAAATCCTATCTTAGGAGGTAATCAATGAGACATCACAGGGCCTGTCACCCACGCTAATGTCTAATTTTTATTTTATGGCACGGAGTAATTCACTAACCCTCACACTTGATTCAACATTCCTACAGTTACAGAAAAGGTAAACAAGAACAAAGGTACATAATTAATTTCTAATGAAGACACAGTGTTTGGGAAAGAATAAGACAGTCCATCAATGAGAAACCGCCTCCCCTATCACCATTATACTGTTGTTATTTGTACCCTAAATTTTCTTCACTCCTTAGTAAGCATACTTTGCATCTACGTTTGACTGGTTGTATATTTGTGTTAGGCCAAAGACACACTGCCTAAGTGGGTTATTAGAAATGAACGGAAAATAGGAAAAGTAATCAGGACCACACTTAAGGAAGGAGAAATTCTTTTATTCTTCAAATGCTAACAGTAAAAGTTACTGCTGCCAAATGCCAAATTACTATTTGATATGCCTAAAGGGAACATGTGTGCTGGAAAATGGCAATTACTCAGAACCAAGGCCAGAAGTAGAATCCAGGTCAGAGTGAGGCACAAGGACCCACTGGACCAGCCTTTTCATCAAGAACACTGGAGTGCTCCCACTTCTTTATTCCGGCCTTTGTCCCTCTCATTAGTTCTGACGAACCATGAAAGAGGATCAAAACTGCTTCAATCCCAATGGAGCTGAAGTGAATTACATGAAAGAAGCACTTAACAAGGGAGGTTTGTCTACTTGTAATCATTTTTTTAAAACAGAGAGGGGAGAAATGGAGACAAAACACTTCCACAACTCTGCTTTTAGAAATGTCTTACGTGTCATTTTACAAAGCATCCAAGTAAATGAGTGTCATCAAAAAAGTTGGATCACCATCTTTTACTCTAAAATTTTTTACTATTTCTAAATCAAATCCAATCCTGAACAATGAAGATTATACACTAAATTTCTTTGAAAGCACATACTGTAAACACTGAAGGCAATTTCACAAGGCTGCTCCCCGAATGACTTACATAAAGGCCCAACATCTGATTAATTTAGCAACAGCTCAAGGTGACTCCTTTGAGGACCCATGCATTAGGATATACAAGCTCTGGAATGAAGTGTTGTATTCAACTTTGTGTCCCTTACTTTTTGTTCCTAAAGAACCCTTAATAAACAGTTGCTGAATTGAGTACAGGTAATAAGTGACAATGCCAGGTCATCAACCTAAGCCTTTTATTTTCCCAAACTCCAAATCAACCGTGTTTCATTACCCCCAATGCTGCTTCTTGCCAAGTAACTACTAGAAGTTTTCTATTACTTGCAACTGTGACTAGGTATTCTGTTGCCATGGTAATTTTCAAGTGGCTCTGCTAAAAGGGCAGAAACCATTAAATCACAATGTGCTTATCTCACAAATATAACTACTATAACTAGCATAACAACTATTTTAAAATTATACCTTTTAAGTTCAGCTGACTACTGCAATTATTATCTTAGCAACTTCAGCATCATAGGAGACAAGCTAAAAGTAAAGCATACTAAGTGGGCCTCTAGAAGTCTGGCTTTCCTCGCCTTTCTCCAGCTTCAGGATGGCAATGCCAAACACGGGTTAGTACTCGTCAATGATGGCCCAAGGGGTAAAAAACAAAGACCAAGATAAGCTTAATCTTCTCTGAGAGGGAGAATATTAATAAAGAAAGAAAAACTGCCTGAAAGAATCCTATATAAAATCACAGTATTTGCTATAAAATAAGCGAGACGGCTTTAAAAGCGCAATTACACAGGTGAGGTGTTATGCACACGCTAATTCACAGGACCACTCTGGTCCGTCGAAGGGTCAGAAAACCTGAAGTGCAGTTGCCTAACTCCGCACCAGCACCTGACGAAACGGGTGCTGACAGCCAAAGCACACACCCAGTGGTGCAAAACTGCCGATTCGAAGGGAGGGGAAAGGGATGAGGAAAGTTTATTCAGCGCTTCTGCCTCTAGTCCGGCGACAAGTGCTGTCAACCCACAACTCCGGAAGCCATTCAACCCAATTACCGGACTCAACTCGTCGCCCAAGCCCGGAAGTTGCTACCACCAAGGTGGGGGGCGGGGACGGCGGCGGCGGCGGTGGCGCCGGCGAAGGGCGGGGCCCGCACGTCCGAGAGCCAACAGGCGTTCCCAGCCGGCGGGCTGCTGGGTTCTGTGGCGGGGGGGGGGGGGGGGGGGGGGGGGGGGGGGGGGGGGGGGGGGGGGGGGGGGGGGCCAAGGGGGGGGGGGAGTCGGGGGACAGCACCAAGGTGGGGCTGTACCTGCGCTGGAAGTCCGGAGCGAAGGGCTTCAGGTACGGGTCTATCTCTAGAAGTCGGGCTAGTTCGGGCACGTCCGCTAAGGCAGCGGCCAGCGCCTCCTCAGAGTATTCGGACCGAGCCTCCCAAGCCGGGTGACCCGCCGGAGCCGCCATCTTCCGCCGCAGCCCGAGTAGCCGAGGCCCGAGAGGGTCGAGTGGAGGGGGAGCGGGAGCTCTAGCCGGGAGGACGCCCAGGCGAGCCGAGGCAAGCCGCGGGAGGGCCAGTCCCTTTATAGCCGGAGAGGACGGCCGCTTGTCCCCCTTCTCCCCCCGCCGGCAGGGAGGAGCAGGACCCGGAGTGATCCCCGGACGCACGTCCCGAGAGGGGAGGAGGCGCCAGGCCTCTCCGCCTACTCACGCGGCTCGCACAGGGAGGCCGCGGAGGCCTGCCCCTTCCTCCCCCCGCGTCTCTGCCCCGGTGCCCAGGGCACCCTAGGAGGCGGTCCTGAGCGGACCTCGCTCAGCCTTGATCTCTCTTACCCTGACCCATTCTTGGCTGCGGAGAACCGCCGTGCCACTCCCCAACCCCCCCAGCTTTTCTTTCTTTGAACAAGTCTCACTGGCGGCATGCCCTTCAAATGGATATATGGTTTTCTTGGAAGGGACTTTTCTTCTCTAAGTTCTGAGAGAATCCTGTAATCGTCCCAGAGATATTCTGGTGTTCTGGTGTTATTCTCTGGGTTACCAACGACTGAGAATTGGAATTATGAAAACTTTTACCACTCCCCATAACCTCAGAAAGAAAGAAAAAGGCCCTTTTGCCTTTTAAAATAATTGCTGTAAACAAACTTTTCAACAATTAAACTATTCTTAATGAGACAAACGGTACAGGGAAGAGCATTAGAATTCAGCTGTGCCACTTACTAATGAAGGGATAAGGCCTAAGAATGGGGGTCGTTAGGTAGTCTACCCCACTTGGAACTTACTTATATTCTTTCATTCCCATTAACTGACGGGTTTCTAGCTCACAGATCCTTTTTTAAGAGTACAGAATTGTGCACCGAGACAATTGGACCCAGCAACGCAGGAGTTTCCAAGCTACTTTGTACTTAGAAACTGGAGAGGCTTGGAGTATATCTGTCCCAGTTAAGTTCGAGGTGTGGACAGTCCAAGGGGCTATGGAGAAGGATGTGTTGATCAGTCATGGACCTTGAATTTTAAAATGTTCAAAACCTTTTTTGTGAAGGATTTAATAAGGACTTCATGAAAGATATCTAGGAACAGAGGGCCTCAAAGTGAAAGAGTGGAGGACTTGGAAAACCTTCAGAAAGGCATGTCTTATTTCCCATAAAGATGACAACATGCAAACATTTGTAAATTATAAAACAACAGTTGAAACTCAGAAGCAGGATACCCAATAGACCCACAGACCTGTATCTCCAATCCTAAACTTTTCTCATAAATCCTGCCTATTGAAATCTGTGTTTAGCTGGTTAAGAGTCCTAAACCAAGTATCTCCAAGACATACCCTAAGTCAGTCTTCTCATCCTTTCTGCTGTCACTCTTAATGCAGGCAGCCTTCCTCTCTCATTTGGACTAACACATCTAAGGGTTTCCCCGTTCTCTTTTTCACCTCCAATCCATTCTCTAGTGTTTCTCAAGCTTTAATGTGCATATGAATCACCTAGGGATCTTGTTAAAAGAACATACTTTCAGTTCTGAGTGGTGCCTCATATTCTGTAATTTTAACAAGCTCAGGGGTGATGCTGCCTCTGCAGGTTGGAAGCACAGTTTGAACCGTAAGGCTCTATGCAAGGAATAAATCATACAACCTAAATGGCATGCTTGGTTCACCTGGAGTTAAAAATAAACTCCCTACTCTTCCCTAACAAGACTTCCATAATCTGGTCCCTGTCTACCTTTCCACTGCTTATCATTCTCTGGCTTTACTATTCTGTAGTCACACTGACTTTCCTGAAACTCACTAAGCACTTTGTAGCCTCTGAGACTACTTGCCCTTCTCTCTATTGAGAGTTCACTTCCCATAGCTGTTTTCTTCCCAGCATTCATTGAGGGCTCACCATAAATGTCAACTCATCTCTGAGAAGCCTCTAATTCCACTATCTAAATATCTCAATATCTTCTCTCCTATGCAACAGTTAACAAAATTTGTGTATCTCTTTGTCTTTTATTTATTGATCTCCCACTTTAGAATGTAAACTCCAAGAGAGCAGGGACCCATTCTACCTTGTTCACTATTGAAAAAGTATTCATTGAAATCCCATGAGCCAGCCAGTTTCCTAGGTACTGGGGATTAGTGATGAATAATACAAGTCCCAGGTGTCATAAAGCTCACAGAATAGGTAAATCTGTAGAGACAGAAAGTAGAGTATTGGTTTCTCAGGGCTGAAGGAAATAGAGAATGACTGCTAATGGGGAGAGGGTTTCTTTTAGGGGTGATGATAATTTTCTAGAATTGATTGTGGTCATGGTTGCAGAGCTCTGTGGCTAGACTCAAAACTATTGGAATTGTACACTTTAAGTAGGTGCATGGCATGTGGATTATAGCACAGTAAAGGTGTTTTTAAAATACCAAAAAAGAACTTTTAAAGTATAAATAATATGAAATATACTCTTTAAAACTAACAGATACCCCCTGTTGAAAATTACTAGGAGAAAAAAAAAGAAAAACAGAGATCTGTGACCAAACTCTAGAGAGAAGTAGAAAGTAAGTAACTTTAAATAAAAACCAGCAGTGATGATAAAGGAGAATGTGGTTTCTGAGAAGACAAAGGAGAAATTCCAGAAAGAACAGAGTGATAATAACCCTTTTATCTTTAATAATGTCATTGATAACCCAGGTTCCTTGGTTCTTTCATTTCCTCATTATGTAGGCTTTGACCTCAATTTTGTCTCCTCATTGTTATAAAATGGCTGCCACAGCTCTAAGCGGCACTTCTTCATAAGGCCACATTTAAAGGAAAGGAAAATGTTCATACCGTGCATCTTTGCCTAAGGGAAAACTCCTTCATAGCTCTTTGGCTAGAGCTAGGTCACATACCCACCCCTACACCACTGACGTAGAGGACTATGACTACCATGCTTGGTTTAAATTAATTGTGATTCACTGCTTGAATTGGGTCCACCTTCCCTTACTGCCCAACATTGCTGCCCAACATCTCGATAAAATGGTGATTCAACTGACATGGAAAAGCAGGATGGATAATCATGTCTGCCACATTTTCCTTTGCTACCCATCCTGGGTTCCACTACCCATGAAACTTGCCAGTGTTATTAACTATCTTGTATCCTTACCATACCTACATGGCAAAACCTCAACGTAGAGTTGTTGACTTTGCCTCCCCCATACCTACATCCAGACTGCTTCTGGGGAATACCAAAAAACAAAGAAAACTCCATAACTGTAGAAACAAAAACCCTTCCCCATGCAAGGCAATCACAATTTTACAGGCCATACACTGCATAAGGTATGCCCAACCAAGAGGGCAAATGAAGGCATTTGCCCTGAGGAAGAAGAGGCATTTCCTTTGCATGAAGGTGCCTCTCCCTCCTCAAGCTATGAAACCTTAAGAGTGTGCCCACCAACAGGAGGCACTTCTTCCTAAATCACAAAGGTGAGTGGCAGCCCTGCCCTCAATTCTCTTCCTCTCCCTTGACCATAACACTCTTTCTTCATTGCCAAGTGCTTGAGAGACTATCTCATTTACTGTTTGACACACTGTGGGCTCACTTATGTTTCTACTATATTGAAACTCCTCTTTCCAAAACACGCAAAATCACCTAGCTGTTAAACCCAATGGGCAGTGTTCAGTTTTCCTATTTAATCTCTGAAGATTTGGAACTGCAGATCATTTTTTTCTCATCTATTGAGAAAGAAAAGTGTAGAAATTTGTGACAGAATTTGAGCTAATAAAGATGTTTAGCCACTGTGAGATATGAGAAAGAAAACAAGTCAAGGACAAGAGGATTCCTGAATAATGAGTGTACAACAGAGGCTGGATATCGGACACCTGAAATAGTGCCACATGGCCCAACCATTAGGTTTTGTTCATTGCTTGCTAAGCTGGGTGTGTGAGCTCAAAAAAATAAGTTTGAATGAAGCTAGAGTTGGAGATTTACAGGGTGAGAATAGTAGAAGATTAGTAGGGCTGAGAAACTTGTGCTGGTGACCATGTCACATAATACTTAGCCATGGAATTCAGTTAGTAAGGGTGGTTAAAACAATAAGGGAATTAAAAGATCTTTGTTAGTGCTAGATACTGATTTAGCAAGGCTAAGAAAAGTGGTTGACAAAAAGTGGTTGAAAGTTGTTTGTGGTTAGATAAGAGCAGTGACTGGACTTATCCAGACTGCCTGAGTTCTCATCAGGGCAAACCCACGTAAAACTTGGCAAATTACTTTGCCTCTCTATGCCTTCATTTTCTCTTTTTTTCTAAATTTTATTGGAGTATAGTTGATTTACAATGTTGTGTTAGTTTCAGGTGTACAGTAAAGTGATCCAGTTATACACATACACATATTCATTCTTTTTTAGATTCTTTTTTCGTATAGATTATAACAGAATATTGAGTAGAGTTCCCTCTTGATATACAGTAGGTCCTTGTTGGTTATCTATCTTATATATAGTAGTGTGTGTGTGTGGTCATCCCAAGCTCCGGATTTATCCCTCACCCCTCCACATTCCCCCTTTGATAACCGTAAGTTTGCTTTCGATATCTGTTAAGTCTGTTTCTGTTTTGTAAATAAGTTCATTTGTATCATTCTTTTAAATTAGATTCCACATATGAGTGATATCATATGATTTTTGTCTTACTCTCTCTAACTTCCCTTCTCTCTAGGTCCATCCCCTATACCTTCATTTTCTTAATTGCAAAGTATAGTGAGGATTAAATAAGAATAGTTAATTATTTAATGAGTTCTTAGGATAGTGTCTATCATATAGTAAGCACTATATGTTAGCTATAATTATTACTATTATTATTAATGGATAATATACTTACTTTAGGAGGAAAGTATGGCTTTTCCATCCCTATATCCATAACACACATTCCAATTTCTCCATATTGATATTTAACTTATTCATTGATTCTGGATATGGAATACTTAAACATGGAGGAAACATGAGGATGGGTAGTTTTATTTATTTTACAAATTAAATATTTGAATGCCTACTATTTGTAAGGCATTATAGTAAGGCATTATGATCACGTAAAGAACTTTGATATAATCCATTAAGATATTCACAATAGTAGACAATTCATACATGAAAATTTAAACAATGACAGCTCAAATAGTATACAGTTGTATTGATACCATATTTTAAAATTTAATGAAATTTTAAAGCCCTATCATTTGTCTTCCTTCCTCTTGCTCTTTCTCCC